ACTTTCCTAGTGGAAAAACAAAGCTTATACTGGTTACATGTTTTTGAAGCAGTTGCTAAGACACCTGCTGAGTTGGTACTAAAACATAGCAGTACTGGAAATCAGGCGCTGTAGGTGGTTGGTAAACCTGTGGATTTTGGGGTCACATTCTCCCTCTTCTGCCTCAACAATGTGCTGATTCCCGTGTCTGAGGAGGGGCCCAGATATGTGCCTTTTAACAAGCACCTCCTGGTGATTCTATGGCAATTAGTTAGCCATATGTTGGTAAAAAAAAAAATATTAAAAGAAAAAAACTCTGGTTACTTTGAGAGGCAATATACTGTGGAGATTAAGAGCCTTGTGTCTCAAGCCAGATGGCCTGGAGTTGAATCCGGGTCTGCTTATCACCTTGGGCTGTTTCTTCACCTGTAAAATGGGATATAATCGTATCTACCTCATGAGGTGGTTGTGAATGCCCAGTGAGCTATAACATGTAAAATAGTTTAATTATAACATGTAAAATAGTTTATTTGGGCCTGGCTCAGAGGTACCACTCAGTATGTTTTGAAGCACTCTTATTTGTCCTTGTCACTTCTATTTTGCTTCTAACATGTTTTTCTTAACCCAATAGAATAATCCCCGGAAAAACTTTAGTGAATTCCAGAACTTCCCACAAAGCAACACAGAAAAGACTAAGAGGACGTGAGGGAGCATGGTGTAGACGCTGAAACCAGACAGAGCTACATTTGAATTTCGCTTCCCCCGATGGAAGCAATATTATCTTAACCTGACCCTGTTTCCTTAGCTGCGAAATGGGAATATTAATACTCCCCAGCGTATTGACTTGTTGTGGGGTATAGAGAAAGCATGTAAAACATGAACATACTCCTAACATAGTAAGCGCTCAACGGATGCTATCTATTTTTAGTGTTGGTATATTTTGTGTTCTGGGGATGTTTGTGTGGGTTGACTGGAAATATCCAATTATTTATATAAGCTCTAAGGTTTCTCTTTAGCCTGTTTGATAGGAAAAGGACTAATTAGTTTAAGTATAATTAGTATTTGTTAATTTGTACTAACTGATTATTAATACTAATTAGCTTAAAGTACTGGTTAGTAAGTCATGGGTATATATTATATATATATGGATATATATATATCACCAAGATAGATCGATAGGTAGATAGAGAGATAGACAGATAGATTCAGTGACCCAGGCTTAGGAGGAAAGAGGAGTAGAAGGGAATTCAGGGAAGGTTTTTCTGAGGAAAAGGGTTGCTAGTTCATGCTGAATTGTGAAGTTGATTAGAAGTTAGCTAGGATACAACAGGAGGAAGTAAGAGATGCGAAGAGTAGCCTTAAGCGAGCTGCGTGTTGCTTCACTGGTGTTAGGCTGGAATGTGTATCTGGGTGGGCTGGGGTTGGGGTTACTGGTAGGGGACCAAAGAAATCCAACAGATAGACGGGAGCCAGACCAAGGCCTAATAAATAAGGCCTGGAAAGGAGTTTGAATTTTGTCCTGAGAGCAATGGGGAGCCACTATCAGTTACTTTTTTAATAAGCAGGGGAGTGAGAAGATCAGATATGCACCTTAGAGAAAGTACTTTACTGCCTTCCTGGAGCATGAACTGGAGGGGGCCAGAGGATGGGCAGGAAGCCAGTAAAGGAGGCTGTTGCAGAAATCCAGCGCTGGTGGCCTGGACTCCAAGTTAGCAGCTCTTTTTGCCTAAGTCCTACATGAAGGCAGGTGGGGCAGCCCTGTAGATCTGATTGTGGTTGTGAAAAATTAATATTGCCTGAGCCTGATTCTCTGGTATGTACACCTCTCCCCGAAGTAAGTCAGATCCTTTTGGAAGTTGGATTAAGTCCCCTGGGTCCACGGAGTGCCGTTAAACTCCTCAGCATACTAAATGGAATGGAATCTCAGCCTGCAGTCAGCCAGTAAATGAGTATAACATGTTGAATTCCAGCTAATGTACAGTCCTCGAAGTAGTATTAAGTCTGGGAATTCACTTGGGTCCCATTTGGAGTACTGAACTATGATTTACTTGGTCATACCCCAGTGACCTATATGTGCCAATATAGCTTCCATGGTTTTTTCTACTTTGTTCCGGGGAATAACTTATGGAATGAAAACATCCATTTTTTTAAATATATTTTCTATATCTTAATTCATTTTCTTGGTGGATAGGGATTATTGAGGTCAGTATTTAGTGTTCAAAAATGTGTAGTATAAATGAAAGTAGCAAGTCATAACCTAAAAATGTGTAGTTTAAATGAAAGTAACAAGTCATAACCCAAAGTTATTTTTCCTATCAAATGTATATAATAGTGAAAGTTCAAAAAAAGTATTGATATTCACACTTGGATCCAAAAGAAATTTAAACTTTATTTTACAAGGAGTTTTTAAATGCTCATTAAAAGTTTGATTTATAAATGGTATCGATTAATTGTTCACTGATATACAAATACATAAAGAGTGAGTCATGTGTCCACGAGGTACAATGTATAAAAATAAAACAAAACTGATGTCAACCTGGTAAGTCCTGTGAGGTCCTCAGGTAATTATCACCGTGAGCCTAGTATTTAATACCTGTTCAATAAGTATGTGATTGCCAAATGCAAATGATCATTAATTTGGGAAGCTTGTCTATCGAGGCCCCATATTCGTGGTGGAGTGAGTATTAATGTGAGACCTCTCTGTGTATCTGTGACACGTGTTCTGGGAACTTTGAATAATTGATATTCCCGAAATGTACAAATGAGGAAACCTCAAATATGATTCTGTGATAACTAAATTTGAAACTATCTTAGGAAATATTTTCCTTTAATAAAAATAACAAATCCTTGGATCAGGTTTTCAGAGTTCAGAGATGCTTGATAAGTAAGTAGGAAAAGAATTTTAGATATGCAAAGTGATTAAGTCATATTTATTTAGTTTGAGAAAGCAAAAAAAGGGAAAAGATACATAACACGGTGAAGAATTTTAGAAATATTTACTGGAATAAACAATAACAGTTCTTAATATTTATGTTTTACCATAGATTTTTCATTTTGCTTTCCAAAACATCACCTCATTTGATCTGTTTAAGAACGCTATGAAGTAGTTTTTGCAGATAGGGAAAGTGTATCATAGAGTAGTTAGACGATTTGTCCAAAGTCCAAACAGCTTATAAGTAATGAACTGGAAACTCTAATCTGTGTTTTCTGACTCTTCAACCAGTACTTTAATATTCAGTAGCAAGTAAATAACTGGCATACATTACGTTATACATGCAGGCTTCTGTGAATAGCTAGTCCACATTGAAGACTTCCGCCTTGAACTGCCAACGCCTTTACTGCCTGTACCATTCATTTGCCGTAAAATTTTACTTTTAAAAAAATGTGGGATTTTTTTCTGTTTACAGAAGCGACACAGGTTCTGAGCAGAAAATTTAAAAATGTACGTTGGCTTCATGAATACTATGTGACCATAGATCGCACAGAAACATGCAGAAAAGAGCATATTTCTGACACTTGTGCTCTTCAGAGATGTTGTATGCTTTTAATAATAGTTCAAATGAGGGCTGGCCCCATGGCTGAGTGGTTAAGTTCGTGCACTCCACTTCAGCAGCCCAGGGTTTCGCCAGTTTGGATTCTGGGTGCAGACCAAGCACCGCTCATCAGGCCATGCTGAGGCAGTGTCCCCACACAGCACAGCCAGAAGGACCTACAACTAGAATATACGACTATGTACTCGGGGGCATAGGGGAGAAGAAGAAAAAGAAGGGAAAAAAAAAAAGGAAGATTGGCAACAGATGTTTGCTCAGGGCCAATCTAAAAAAAAAAAAATTACTTTACTAAAAAAAGAAAATTTCAAAGGAGATCACCAAAAACATTTTCATCATTTAGTTTTCAACAAAATAGTTTGAAAATTTTTCCCACGTTGGTAAACATCATTATAAAGCTCTTTGAACAGCTTCATAGTATTCCGTTTTCTGAATAACATCTGTTAAGGACTTGAGGATGCTTTCTGTTTTATTAGAAACAACAATGATGAACATCTTTGCTAAGGATCTCTTTGTGTAAATCCATACATTTTTTGTTAGCGTAAATGCCTGGCAATAAAATTGCTGGGTTAAATGATGTACAAAATTTTTCAATCTGACCAAATAGCCCAACAGAAAGGTTGTGCCTATTTAAATTCCCACTTTGCAGTGTATGAATGCCATTTTTTACACATTTGCCAATCCCTGATCTTGTCTTTTCAAAAATCTTTGCCAATATGGTCATCAAAAATAGTATATTGTTGTTTGGCATAGTTTAACAATAAGATAGTAAATAAACTGAAGGAGGGAACTAAGATTTGCTCTTTTGTTTGTATCTTGCACAATGCCTACTCTTTACTGTTGAACACGTACAGACATTTAACAAATAGAACGTTACCCAGACAGCACATGTAATACACAAAACACTGACCATGTTCTTCTTTGATTTTTGTTTTATCAAATTCTTCAAGTGCTGCCGTTCATTCTTCTGTGACATGAAATAATCGCCGTTTTCAGTGGTCCATTATAATGACAAGTACAAGTCGGAAAGTGTTTTAAGTTCTTGGAACTAGCGTTGTGGTTTTTGAGCTAGCAAGAGCTTTAAAGATCTTCTAATTTGATCCATCATTTTACGGCGAGCATGTATCATGTAAAGATATGATAAATCCTGGTGTGTTTTACAAATTGAAGTGGAAAGCTCAGTGTCTAATGTTTTTGCACAAATGTGTAATTGTGTCCACAGTTTATAGAAGTTACTCGTGTCCTCAGAAATTTAAACCTCTTTACTTTTTAATCCTTTGTAATATAGTGAAACTAAAATTGTCAACTGTTTTAAGAAAACAGAATTTTAGCCATGGCAATGGATTCTGGTTTTGAAGGTAAACCAAATGCATTTGCAATGAAACCAGCTCTGCTTTATCTAAATAATAATTTCCTATAGGCACATTATTCTACATAGCGTAGTCAACCATATTTCTTTTCATTTTGTTTTAGGTAGCAGTTTTACAACATCATCAGGATTATATACAGGAAATAATTCACTCACAAATTCCTCTGGATTTAACAGTTCACAGCAGGTAATTTTAAAAGCCAATTTAACTTCTGAAATTTTTTTTAAATGCAACAGATGATTTTCTTATATAAAGAAAGATTTGTTTATATTACACCCTAAGCAAGAGCCTTCTTAAGCCTTTTCATCGTTTTTCTTTCCCCGTTTAAAAAATCTCTTTAGCGATCTTATATGGTGAGTTGTTTGGTTTTCAGATTGGTTTAATTTTACTTAGTAATGCATCGTGGAATGGAAGAACTAGGAAGGGTGTATCTAATGTTACATAAAATTTGTTTGCAAGTCTGAGCACTTCACTGTGTGCTCCTTTGTGAATTCAGAGAAGACACAGAAACACAAGCATGTGTACAGTTATACTCTGAAATATAAGAAATATGCAGGAGTGTTCTGACCGCTTGTTCTCATGTGGTTTGATTTGGTAGGACTACCCGTCTTATCCGAGTTTTGGCCAGGGTCAGTACGCACAGTATTACAACAGCTCCCCGTATCCGGCACATTACATGACGAGCAGCAACACCAGCCCCACGACGCCGTCCACAAATGCCACTTACCAGCTTCAAGAACCACCATCTGGCATCACCAGCCAAGCAGTTACAGATCCCGCAGCAGGTAATTTTACTAATAAAAGTAAAATGTGCATTTTATTAGTCCTGCAGGCTATATTTCTGGTGGTTTAAATAAATATTTCTATCGTCGTATATTCATGCAGTGGTTGCATACTTTTGGCAAGTTTTGGCAAGGCCTAAATATGAGTCAAGTAGTGTGTTTGTGACATTAACTTTATTTTTATCTGCTTAAAAATTTTAGTACAAAGTATGTAACTTCAAAAGCACTCAAAATAGAGATTTTATTTAGTTGTAAACATATTCAATTTTCAAGATGTGTATATATATAGCTTTTTAGATTCATAGTTATAAATATTTAGCTATAATTCTTAACTATAATTGTAAATAATCTGCTTATGTATTGAATAGAAAATAAATGACATTACCTTTAATTCAAGGTTTATCATCATTAAATATTTAATGTTTTTAAAAAAATCAAATAGTATCAAAGGGTTGAACATGGAAAACAGAGATTCCTCTGTCTACCCTTTCTCATCATGGCCTTCTGTGAATTTCATAACAATCTATCTGCACGTGGGAATTTTTCATACTCCTGCACAACCCTTGATGGGCCCTTTCAAATGAAAGTCTCTCTACCTCTGGAAGTTTTCCTGCTATGTTTTTGATGTTTCTTCCCCTACATTAGTTCTTTCTGAAACTCTTAATATGGTATGTGTAATTTCCTGAATTGGTCTCTACCTCCATTTCTTATATTTTTCTCTTGTACTTCTCACATCCTTGTCTTAATTTTTTTTTTTTCCTGCTGAGGAAGATTTGGCCTGAGCTAACATCTGTGCCAATCTTCCTCTACTTTGTATGTGGGTCACTGCCACAGCATGGCCACTGATGAGTGGCGTAGGTCCGCACCTGGGAACTGAACCTGGGCTGCTGAAGTGGAATGCGTGGAACCTAACGCTAGGCCACAGGGCTGACCCTTGACTTAACTTTTTAAAATGTAATCTCTCCTTTCTTGGATTATGAGGTGAGCTCTTATCCTCAAAGAGTCAGAGAGTTTTCTTCCTTTCCCTTTTATTCCTAGAGCCAAAACCCACTCTACAAGTCAGGCTTAAACGTACAAGTCAGGTGTTAACGTTGGAAGACTCATTTCTATGACCTTGTGTTGGTAGAGTGTTAATTCTGGGTGGTTGTCCTAAATCATGAAGAAAACGTTTCATGTAATGGATGCTAGTTCAAATTTTGACTATGGGTTTATCTTTTGAATATTAACAGATGACCCTCCCCAAAACTCCTTTCAGTTTTTAATGTTCTATCTTTTGTCTTAAATGCATACAAATGCTGTTTTATTCTAGAGTAGGAAGTTACACCCTTCCTAAACTTGTATTCCAACCAACTGCAAATACAGTTCTGCTGTACATCTCAACTCTGTAAACATCTTTATCTTTGATCATCATACTCCGTTTACCTTTATTTTAAAAAAAAGCTTGATATAATATTCTTCACTCACTTCACCCGTGTAAATACAGTATTCATAGAACCTAGTATACTTGTCTCTTTTGCCTTTTAATTAGATTTCGCATCTATATAATCACACTCAAAATAAGCCTTGTTGTAGAAGATATTGAATTTACTGTAGAAGTTATTGGTAAGTTTTCCTCTCAACTTCCGTAAGCTTCATACGGGCATCAGAAGGAAAGGTAATGGCTCTCCCAACTTTAGGAAGATCTCCTTTTTCACAATAGCCATCTGGATCATGCAAGCTTCTTGAGGACTAAAAGGAGTTTTGAAATGAGGATAGCTGTATGAATGAGAAGTAGAAAGACTCGTTAAGGTCTGTGGAATAACAGAATGAGAAAAGGAGACGGCAGAATAATTTTACTTAATTCATGCCATTTTGGTTGTGCAGAATACAGCATCAAAGAAACTGGAAGACTCATTTATATTTCTTAAATTAAAGTTGATGAGAGCTTTTTAAAAAAAGAACATTTAGTCATATTATAAAAGTTTGTCTGAATCTTGACGTTGTTCTAATTTGATTTATAAAAGGGATGCCACGTGAAGGGGGGTATGAGTGGGCACAAAGCTGTGGCACGTGGGGAAAAATGCGGTTATAATTTTCGAAAGGTATATATGATTTTATTTTAAGATTGAATGACATATTTTAGATTTTATTTGAATAAATGCTTCGTGTTTTAGGTACTTATTTCCATTTCAGTATCTTTATGGCTACAGTATAGGAATGCATTGAACTGGGGAGAAAATGATATTTTTCAGATTTCTTATATTCACCACTTCCCACTAAAATGAATGTGTATGGATAAGCTTTTCTTGTGTTGCATAGTTAGAAAGGGAAAGTTCAGTGAGTTTCCACGTTGAAAAAAAATCTGGATTACTTTAAAAATTCAAGGAAGATTTAGTCTGGGTTTTAGTGTTTGTTTTTTGTTTCTTGAGTTTTTTTCACATTTGTGGTAAGACTATGGATTCAGCCTAAGTTTTTTGGCATTAACTTTCCTTTTTTACTAGTCATATATAAAATTATAGGTTTGCCGTTCTTGATGAAAAGGAAGTTTTGATGGTACAGTACATAAATTCATTGAACTAAAGAATTAGCCGGAATGGCTTATCATATATAACCTAATGTTTTTGTTTTGAGATAAAAATAAAAAATAGTTAAAATAATTCATGTTTTTGTTGAAATACTTTCAGGTGCTTTTTTCTTTTAATTTTAATAGTCTACTGGGTTTAAAGTCAGTATTTTCTAATAGTGGAAAGTTAGGAATCTTACGTTTCTGCCTTTTAATTTCATGGTATTGTGCAGTACAAAAGAATGCACAGTCCATGTGGTCCTCCTCCCATACTTTATGATATCTATTCTTGTATCGTTCATAGAATTGTTATGTCATAATGAACATATAAAGATAACTTTGTAGAGTTTTCTCAGGGTAACATGTAAAGACCTACTTGCTTTTTAATTGTGCATTTTTAAAGTTATGTGAAAAATAGGTATCTTTTAAGTCCATGATATTATGCAGTATTACTTATAAACACGTACCTCCTCATGAATCTTAAGTTCAAAAATTATTTTAATGTGTTTATAACTAAATATTGAAAGCTCTATTCTCCTTTGGATAGACATGTAATAAATTAAAAATAACATAACTTGAATATGAAAGTTTAATCGCAAATTTTTAATTCATTTTAAAAAACTAAAAGCAGTGCCTTTGTATTTATTTTTGTTTATTTTTTATTGAGATGTAATCAACATATAGCATTATTTTAGTTTTGGGTATACAGCATAATAATTTGATATTTTCATATATTGTGAAATGATCACCATAAATCTAGTTTTAACATCCATGACTACACGTAGTTACAATTTTTTTTCTTATAATGAGAATTTTTAAGATCTACTCTCCTAGCAACTTTTAACTCCTTTGCATTCATTTTTAAAAATGAGTTTGTTAGCCATGTTTTGACTATCTTAAAATAAAATTTACGTCATCTGGAGATATGTAAGAATCCTTTGACCTTGAGAAATATAGTGAGGTTTATTTGGTATTTCAGCAACGTTTTAATTTATTTACTGGATTCAAGAAAGTCATGCCTCCTCTTCAACTAGAAATACCAACCTCCCCCCTCCGAACTGAAGGACATCTTGGTTGCTTCCAATTCTGGCACTTATAAATTAAGCTACTATAGACATTTGTGTGCAGGTTTTTGTGTGGACGTAAGTTTTCAACTCATTTGGTTAAATACCTAGGAGTGCGATTGCTGGATTATATGATGAGTATGTTTAGTTTTATAAGAAACTTCCAAACTGTCTTCCAAAGTGGTGGTACCATTTTGTGTTCCCCCAAGCAATGAATGAGTGTTCCTGCTCCACATCCTTGTCAGCATTTGACATTGTCAGTATTTCAGATTTTGGCCATTCTAATAGATGTGTAGTGCTATCTAGTTGTTTTAATTTGCATTTTTCTAATAAAACATGATGTCAAGTATCTTTTTATATGCTTATTTGCCATCTGTATATCTTGTTTGGTGAGTTGTCTCTTCAGATCTTCTGCTTACTTTTTAATCATGTTGTTTGTTTTCTTATTGTTGAGTTTTAAGAGTTGTTTGTACATTTTAGATGCAAGTCCTTTCTTAGATATGTGTTTTGCAAATACTTTCTCCCAGTCTGTGGCTTGTCTTTTCATTCTTTTAATAGTCTCTTTTGTAGAGCAGAAGTTTTTAATTTGAATGAAGTCCAACTTAGGGATTTTTTCTTTTATAGAACATGCTTTTGCTTTTGTATCCAAAAACTCATTGCCAGACCGTAGATCTTATGTTGTGATCTAGAAGTTTCATAGTTTTGTTTTTTACATTTTAGGTCTCTGATCCATTTTGAGTTAATCTTTGCGTGAAGTGTAAGGTCAGTGTCTAGACTGGTTTTTCTGCGTGTGGCTGCCCTGTTGTAGCACCATTTGTTGAAAAGCCTATCTTTGCTCGCTTGAATTGCCTTTAATCCTGTGTCAAAGATCAGTTGACTGTATTTGTGTGGGTCTACTTCTGGGCTCTCTCTTCTGTTCCGTTGATCTATTTGTCTATTCTTTTGCCAATACCACAGTGTCTTGATTACTGTATCTTTATAATAAGTCTTTAAATTGGCCAGTATCAGTCCTCTCACTTTGTTTTTCTTCAGTCTTGTGTTGGCTATTCTGGATCTTTTGCCTTTCCATATAAACTTTTAAATCAGCGTGTTAATATTCACCAAGTAACTTACTGGAATTTCGACTGGAATTGCGTTGAATCTATAGATCAAGTTGGGAAGAACTGACAATATTGAATCTTGACAATATTGAGTCTTCCTGTCCACGTACATGGAATTTACTGTTAATTTAGATTTTGATTTCTTTTGTCAGTGTTGTAGTTTTCCTCATATAGATCTTGTACATTTTTTAGATTTATATTTCTTTTTTTGGTGCTAATGTAAATGGTGTTGTGTTTTTAATTTCAAATTCCAATTGCTCATTGCCAGTATATAGAAAAACAGTTGACCTTTGTATA